GTCAGAGTGCAAGCTTCGTCTTCCCACCTGCTTCAACAGGAAATCGCAGGTGCTCAACCGAACTTAAAATAAAGTCAGAATATTCATGTGAACTTCTGACCAACCAAATGATGCCACTGAAGTTTGATACGTTCTTGACGTACAAACGTAAAAACGACGTACAACCCCAAATACTATGGTGCCAGCCGAATATCTCTCTCCGACACCCAGTAAGTTCGCAATTATCCTGGAGTTCACCGAAACCAACAACTGGTTCCATGCCTAAGATATTTCCTGAACGCACAATTACACAAGACTAACATGCTGTAAAGACCATCGGGGTTAAAAAACTCTCGCAAGAAACACGACTCACTGAGGGATCGAGTGAGAGTATCCGCACTGTGTTGTCTGCCAATCCAACTGCAAGAAAGCGAGAACGTTGTTCGCTGGTCGGAATACGCCCAAGGGCCATACATATGACATCCGCAGGCATTTCCTTGCGTTCGGTATACTCGTTGAGCTGCCCTGTCATATCCATTTCAAAATACACGAGTTCACCACCCGTAAGAGCAATTACAACCTGACGCCGATTGACTGCACATCTAACAATCATCTTTTTGCCAGGTGCACGCCAAACGTTGACACGCTTGTCAGCACGAATGTGTCGAATCCCTTCAGGATAGACTTGAACCAGAGCATCGTCACCCAACTGCGAGCAAGTAAGTGTTGGTGTGGTACCCAGGAATCCGGAGTCAGTAACTTCTTCGACAGTTTCGCCGATGGACAGCACCAGAGTGGCATTAACGAACGAAACAATGATGTAAGCGTCGTATTCCTCTGTAAAAGTAGTACAAAGAATGCTAAAGTAACCGCAAATGAAACTATGAAAAACATCGGGTGAAATTCAAAGCACTGAATGGCCCGCCACATTTCTTCTTTGCAGCAGTCTAATAGATGAGTGAACTAACTTTTCATGTCAGTGACTAAATCTTAAGCAGATATTGAAGCAACTGCGAAAACTGTTAACTTACTGATATCTGGGCACAGAAAGCCTACAACAAGTGATTGCTTCCAGCAGGCTAGTTTGAGTACCAAACGGAAAAATTGCCACCACCCAAGCATGCAGGAACATGTGGTTCATCACTGGAACCACTAGTTTGGGGATTTTCTCACCGACCTACCAAACTGATTGTGTTCGTTCTGGACCAGTTGTAACGAACCTTTTTTTTACTGCTGTGATGTGTATTTCATTTACAAATCTGCAAATGATATTCCGGACTGTTAGATCAATGATGGTAGCCAAGATCACTGGAGCATCGTTGGATGGAACAGGCTGCGTGGTGGCTAACACAAGTCAGCCGTCTTCGGCGAGTCTCGTGGGTGGTGCGGGATAGTAGTGTTACCCATAATTGATCTGGCAACTATGGGTTACCACTTGAGGACGCAAGAGTTCTCTCCTGTTCACCCGCTAATATTAGTCCTCTGGATATACTCTGGGTACAGGATATTCAAGAGGGTGTTCGACTGCTCCTGCCTAGTCTTGGATAATCCGGCAGTATCCCAGTCCTCACGGCCCTTTCTGTTGGCATGATTACTAGGAAGCATAAGGGTGATACGACTGAACGACCTGATTTGTTCATTTGTTCAACTGGTCACAAACAGCATTAAAAGCAAGCTCAAAAGTACTACGATTCAGACCTGGCTGCAATCTCGTCTCATAATTAGGGTTCCTCGACCACCGCGGACATTCACTACTACTCCAGTATTCCCTAAACCCGAAGATCTTAGAGTATGTAAAACGTAGAATTATCTGGTAAATTTATAACTACGTTCACATAGTGATGAATAAGCACACCCGAAGACTGAGTTAAACAAAAAAACCGGGAGGCCAGCCCTCGCATGAGCAACTGACCCTCGGAGTTTCGTTTCACCGTCCACACGGCGTTGGGATTTCCGGGAAGATCAGATTTGGCCATTTCCGAAACTTCCAGGCCGTGACGAAGCAAACGGAAAGTTGAACCAGGCCCACGTCCACAAAGCACAGCCAGTTGTGGAGTGTCCTCGTTAGCGAAATCGGCAATCTAAAGGGTTATCATTTAACCATTGTGACCTACGTGATAGTGCATTATTGGAGATAAGTTTTCCAGGACGTCCACCTCAATCAAGTTTTTCAGCGCTCTCGGAGCGAAATAAAACGTGTCACCCTCCTCCAAGGGCATAGCAGAAGAAAACTCGGGTTCATCATCATCATCTCCCAAGTGTGCTATTTGGTAGAGCGAACTGCGGTTCAGTGTAAACTTGGAGCACGAACTTACTGATTGCCGAATTCCGAAGCAACAAATAAAAAGCCGGTTTTGAGGACACACATGGCCGACGCAACCGGGAGGGTGTCGAAATACTTGAGTTTGATTTCGGTCACCATGTCATCGTCAACCTCTAAGTTTATCTTGAATATGTCACCCTGCTCTGTTTGAGCTAAAAAGAAGAATAAATTCTAACGAGGTTGGACCCGAATGAGAAAAAACATACCTTTGTCTTGTGTGACGCGCTGCAAACAAACAGAATACCCCGATCTGGATCATCCAAATTGTTTCTTCTTTGTGGGATGGGACAGCGAATATCGGGCTGGTCACCAAAATTCTTATAGGTGATGTAATTTTCAGAACAAATCAATATACCAGATGGACCCTCGTTACCGCCAGGGACCGCGATAAGGAAGTTTGCATGCTCCTCTAGCGGTTCGGAATACTTACGAACCACGTGGTTCAGACCAAGGTCCAATTCATAATAGGTTAAGAGCTGATTGGCGCCCCTGGCAGCTTCGCCCGTAGAATCCTGATCTGCATCCTCGTAGTCCATTTCGATGCAAGCGAACAGAGGGTTTTCAAATCCAACGTCAACCCCAACCATATGATAAACGAGAGTGTTGGATTTGTGAGCTTCTAGGGGGGAAGAGATAGTGAGTCTAGCTTGGGAATCCCTGTTCATGATATACACTAGTTTCTGCTTTTCGACAGCGCCGATCATGAAGGCCCTGCCCTTTGGATTAACAGCAAGGTACTGTCCCGGAACAATCCTTCGACAGCCGCTCTTTCCGAAGGTTTCCTGCTGGAGCTTCTCAAAGGCATTTTTGGAGGGTACGTATTCAAGGACAACGACACGGCCGGAATCCGAACCAACAATGAGATAATCTAAAAATCGACCAGAGTATACAAATACGACTAACCTTTGCTGCTCCCCGTAAGCCGAAAAGGCATAAACGAACGGATTATGCCGAAGGCTTCGCACGTAAGAAGCGTATACACCTTACCAGAATTGGGATCTGGTCTTAGAAGCTCGATAATCTTCCCCCTTGCAACGGCGATTTCCTGTTGCTTGGTGCCAGAAAAATTTCCATGAACCGCGTGCGTTATCCCAGAAGCCCGTTGCAAGGTGATGTTGTAGAGATACATCCTACAGGCCCGTTGGCGCCTGACACGTCTGGTGGACGCAGCAAAACAAGTATTTCCCAAAGGTCAGTTCGGATGGGCGTAAACGGAACTTGTACTCAGAGTCTGTCACTCGGTAGGTCCTTGTGGAGTCCAAAGTGACTAATCCTTTGTAAACTCCATCACCTCTCAGTTTTACCCCTGTAGTTTGCAGTCTGTCCCGGGCAATACTAAGTAGGAAATATCTCAGTCAGCCATGATCGAGAGCAGGGGAAGGTCCAACACATTCTGCTTGACCGGAGCGCAGCTTTTCTATCAAGATCATCGATAACCTGGTAGAATTCGCTGAGATGCATTATAAACACGTGTCCGCTAAGCTTATATACCAGGGTGTCATGGCAAACGCTGGACACGCCCCATGCCCTTCCATGGGCTCACGGGTTGATACGCGGGATCGAGGCTTTCTCCAAAATGTTCACCTGAAAGGTGCAGATGAAAAGGGGATGCAGCAGTGCTCTTTGAATTCTCGGCGCGGGGAAGCAACACGAGGACTGAACTAAAAAGACGTTCAAAGGTGCATAGAACTGCATACTAGGTGCATCGTGAACAAACATTGGAAGAGGGTTATTGCACACACCAAATACCCGAAGTGTGGCCTAATAAGATTGCGCACTCTGAGCTTGAAAATCCTGCTAACGTGTCTGCTCCATGTGTTAGTTGTGTCGACTGGGAAAAAACTGTAACCCAGACCTTGTTCGAACAGAGTCTACCCGGAGACCAAGATAATGCGGGAAAATAGGCCAAGCATTACGGCACGTATTTCAATAATCAATAGATTTGGCAAAGGCAACCATTTTCGTTCCAGCTCGTTGGTCACCCTCAACGAGGGTTGTCTCTCTTGCAACCTAAGTAGACGACTTGGCGTACTCAAGAAACAGTCTGACGTAGGCCCCATAGTGTCTGGAAGTCCATACCAGTAATACGGGGGAAGGTTCGCCGAATCATCCGTAGAAAGGTTAACGACTTTTGAGTCGACTTTTCATGGTGCAGTGAGAATGTCACATTTAAAGTGTACCAGACACATAAATACATTTGGCATGTTTCATCGTGACAACTTCTGATCCATCTTCACCATTCTACCTCATCCAAGTAACTTCCATGGGTCCTTGGGTGGTGTCCATAGTACGCGTGTTCTCAAATGGCATCTTTTTCCATTGACAAGTTCCCCGCTTATTTTCAGCCGATATCCCATGGTGTGATTGGAGAGCCAAGATTTACGTGCAAATTTTACACAGCTTTGCCTGTCCGCAAGATCCGCCCACTTAATACCCGATCACTGTGAATCAGTCCTAGATATAAGCCCACGAGTTTTGAATCAGCCACATGCGGCCGTGAAATACCGTCTCCAACACTGTTGTTGGTGTCTCTTATAATGATTATGATGAACCAGGTACGCTCCATTAAATAACCATTGGTGGTCTGCCAACGAGCCATACATTGGTGCGACCAAACGCAGCTAAAGTAGAAGTAAAGATGATTCACTGTGACGTGCAAGAGCTGTTGCAAACATTGATTTTCAGAGGATTTACAGCATTTTATCGTGCTTAAATGCGATTTGTTCTATGGTATGACGCAGACAGACATCCCGGGAATATCCTGGGGGCGATAACATCTCCCAGCATCAACCCCCAACTTCTCATCGGGCCGGTGGATCCACAAAGAAAACCCAATGAAGCATATGCCACACGGAAGAAACAGGGTCATTTTAAATTACCCAAGTACCGACAAACTGATATTCGCAGCGTAACACAAAATTTATTGCATGACGAACATGCTCGCATTTATGGATGGATTCAAAGGCGAACGACTCATATCGGGTGCCATATTTTCAACTTTTCGAAGCGTCCAATAAAGTCTCGCACGTTCCCCTGCCCAACAAACCCTAATCCTATGAGATTAGAAGGGAATTGTACGCTGGATTAAGCTGTTCAATTTTGAAGGTGACCCTAGCACTACCGTGGGCGAGCTGCATGTCCGAAGGCTTCAGCCTTGTGACGTGCCGCCGGTACAGTCGGTGGTCAAGGAATATTTCGAACTGTTCACGATCGATGAAGATCCGTTTGGCTCCTGTCCGTGGATTAAACACGAAATTCCACTCTCATCAGCATCCCTTCGACCCTGCGGGTGGAGGCCCATAAAATAATTCAAGAGATGTTGAAAATAGCATAACCGAAGATGCCAAAAAGGCGTAAAACTCTCCGGTGGTGCCTGTAAGGAAGGCGCCCAGGATCATGATCGGAACCAATAGCCTGGTCATCGAACTGGATCCCAGAATGTTGGTGCAACCCCAACGACAAGGTCCTATGTTTCGGAAAGATGCAGCCGCCTTGTTGGATGGAAGGAATATTAAGAACGGAGGGGGAGACAAGCAATTGGAAATGTTCCAGAGGCACTTCAATAGGCTAAGCCCAAGTGGAGCTGGCATAATTTTCTGGAACATCACCGATTATGATTTTATACTGGCCGTGATACCTCGCGTCTTGAGATGGAGGCTTACCGTCGAATGCCACGAGATGGCACACACAAGGCGCACCAAGACGTACGGTTGGATGGAGGAATATTAAGAACGGAGGGGGAGACAAGCAATTGGAAATGTTCCAGAGGCACTTCAATAGGCTAAGCCCAAGTGGAGCTGGCATAATTTTCTGGAACATCACCGATTATGATTTTATACTGGCCGTGATACCTCGCGTCTTGAGATGGAGGCTTACCGTCGAATGCCACGAGATGGCACACACAAGGCGCACCAAGACGTACGACTTACTTCGACAGAGGGCCTACTGGCCCGGGGTGACAAGTGAAGTGATGGATTATGTTGTGTCCTGTGGGTGCACCCAACTGATGAAAGGTGACACGACTGAGGCCACCTATCCCATCAAACTCATTCCCGTCTCAAAAATCAGTGGGTTGAGGCGGCAGTGGTGTCAAAACAGCGGGCAACGACGATCAGCGGAATGGTAACACACCACATCGTGTCCAACCACGGGGTGCCAAAAATGATCCCAACCGATCAGAGGCCTTGCTCCTATAGAGGAGAGTTCAGGAATGGCTCGCAGAAGCCGGGCATCAGACGAGAAAGGAAGACACCACATCACACACAAGCAAACGGGCTAGCCGAACTTAAAAACGGAACATGCATGGAGTGGCTGGCGGCAAAAGGAGGTGGCTGGGTAGTGAACCTGCCAACGATGGTGCTAGCTCATCGTGTTTCCATAGAGCAAACCACAGGTATGTCCCCGTTCGTGTAGATGTACGGTCGACATCTGTGCCTTCCAATTCATCATGGAATTGTGTTGCGGCCCGAACTACGCTTGTCCCCGGGGTAGCTAGAGGGAGAAAGGAGGAAGGCTCAAGAAAACGTGACCGCCGTTCAGGAAATGACTAGAGAAAACGACATATAGACGGGCCTGACCATTCCCCAGTCCAGTCCCTTCTCTTACAATTCCGCTGCATAATATCGGTCCTGGAATTGCCATGGCTCCTCATGGTTCAAACCAGGCCCAAACCTTTATTTCGTCTGTTGCACAAAAACCTTCAAGCAGAGGCCAAACAAAACATGAATTCACGTCTTTGTCATAAAATCCTCTTACGCATCACGCTTCACTGAACTCTACTCGCTCCTTCCTGTTCCTAAGCTTCAATCTTCGACAGACGCTGCTTCCAGCACCCTATATGATCTCTATCCACCCAATCAGTTCCTAGCTTAAGGTCCACATGGAAGTTCAGCTGAAATGACATCACAGCTGATCTTACATCGGCTTTGTTCTACCTTTGCGGATCCCCCAGACAGACCCAGATTTTCGCCCCCCACAAAACCGCAATCCCCAGTCCGATCACCTTGACCTTCACTTACGTTCTGAAGCCTTCAAGAAGCCGAGGTGTCAGTACAACGATGGCACGACACTGCTACACCCAGTATAACTGAGCATCCACAACTGTCTCCTCCATACTCTGAGCTGTCCCCTTTCATCCTCTCGAGCCTTTGCGTGACACGAAAATCTCAAGTGCATGTCGTGTAAGTTATTATTTCGGCCCCAACCTGTCTGCAGCGGTTTACGAAATCTTTATGCACCGGTTAGCCACTTAATTAGAGCACTCTTTCAACAGCTGCACCGAATCGCCTTCCCTCTGACTCTCCCCTATTTGCTTGGGCCTTCTTTACACAAAGGCTGACCGGTGCCAGTTCTACGGGGGCATTTCACTTTCGGCTTTCTACACACCCCGCACCTCAAAAGAAACCATACTTCCACAGTCCCAGCCGTAATCGACAACCATATGGCAGTTAACCATATGAGAACTCTCGCGTAAACAATAGGCTTCTTTCTCAGGTAACGAAGCAAAGCGTTCGTGCACATGTTTGTAAATGGACTCTGTCATGATCTCCGGTATCCGGTTAGCGTCCCAAATTCGCGTGCACCCAATACTTTAAAATAATACCAACACTTCCGTCTCCTTCTAGGCTATTGTTGAACCCAAAATCCTTAACGCACATCCCTCCATTTTGCCAAAAGAGTTGCCTCTCAGCCAGACAGTTTAGTGTTTAGACCCATTGCTCTTCAAAATCGGTAGATAGAGTGCTCCGAGCCATATCATACTCTTCAGTAGTACCAACCGATATCACTCTGTCCTGCTCAGCATGCGTCTGCCCTTCCCCTTACTAAAAGAATTTTGGATTCATACAGATATAGCTAATTTCAGAGCCTGTGTACAAACCAGCTTCTATCCGAATCGTACATTTATTTGCTGACTTTCTGAATCCTGACGTGACGTGTGATCCATCAAACCTCGAAAAAATATCGATCCTCATTTACGATCTTGCTTCAGATCTGTCAGCGTTTGCAGTGCCTTCACCAGGTCTTGTTATACCATGCGCTTGATCGCATCTTGCACAAGCTCATAAATACTGCTCTCTCGACGGCGCGTAACATCCTTGGCACCACCTGCGCAGTTCGACCACTATGAAG